GATTGTATACCAGGAAGAGTCACGTAAGACTGACTGGGAGAGTTGGGGAATGAATTGTAAAATCGTGTGGAACGGCGACGTTGATAATCTACAGGACGACGCGGCTGCTGGTGCCTGTCAACATCATCAACCACAATGCTGGGATAACCATTAGGCTGGGGGATCTCTTCAGGCGAACTCGGTAGTGCTTCAGAATCGCTTGAGTCGTCGTCATCAGGGAGTCTAATAGGTCCAACTTCGTCATCCGCTTGTGCCAATAGTTTCACACCAAAACTCCATCGTAACTAAATGATGTACGTCAGTAGATAAGACATAGCTCTAGAACATGATAGAACATTGGGCTTACCACCATGCCAAGCGTACTGTACAAGACGAGATACGTGAGCGCTCGTCCAAGCATAGCGTTCTTGTTATCGTCATCCGTCCAGTGGAGACCTCCAACAGTCACAACGAGACTTTGCATTAAAGCGATAGGCAACGAGTTTGAGTTCATGAACATGGCCGCAGCCATTGCGAAGCTCCTGCATCATACAAGTCAAAAGGTGTCATATGCAAGGCACATGAACCACGCACCTTTGGGACCTTTTGAGGCGGAATATCCAACCTAGTAGGAATGCCACAGACATTGAGACGAGGGTGACTATCACAAAGAATATAGGTATTATCCATAACTCGGCTAGCTTTGCTGTAAAATCGGCGGTAATGTTAGAGAGAGTTCTCTAGAACTCCATGGTAGCTGACCTGGTGATAAGAAGAAAGCAACTTTGGAGAATAACAGAGACGGCGTGAAAAGAGAAACATTAAGACGGTTAAGTTGCTACGAACGTCGTTTGTGAGCAAAACCAAAAGCCAACCGGGAGTTTTGTGAGCGCACCTTTTGTGTTTTCTTATCTAGAATGCCTTTGGCAGCGAGGATGTAACCGGCAAGACATAATAAGAAGACCTCGAGAATTGACTATAGAAGCTCGCGGTCACGTTAGGCATCACCATCAAAGTGATATTGGTACATACGGTGAAAACAGTGAGCAGAAGCGGACCAATGGGCAAAGCCGCACGCATAAAGAGCAGAAAGAAAAGGAGGGTAGCGAGAAAAGATAGAAGAAAGATTTGCAATAATTTATGTGCGGGTTTGAATTTCGCCGTTTGGCAGTGTGGCTTGGCGTTTTGGCAGGCGCACGTGTGAATGACGCGACGACTGACATCCGTTTCATGAATTACTTCTTCACTTGATTCTTTTAAACCATGGCATGGCTTTGTGGAGGTAAATCGAACTCTGAACTAATATCCAACATGGCCAAGTCCTCTATCCTGAAATCTGACCGAGTTGCAAAGGTGCTTCTTCAATTCAGACCACCGCCAAGCTCGTTCACTTGACAGCTTTGGGCAGGGAATGACTGCGGTAGACAGAGCCAACTTTGTCTTGGACAAGGCAGAAGCTTACGAAGATTCCCCACAGTTGGTTCTACACCTTCTGATTAGTATACTTGGGACTTCATCGATGCCCTTGACAGATCCATTGGTTATGGAGCTACCATTAGCGCTCCGCATATGGTCGGCAGGAGTTATCTCTTCCTTCAAGACGCATTCTGACCCAAGCATAGCATGCATACGCTTGTGAACATCTCTTACCATACATGCATCCAGGTGCCAAAGTTCTCGACGTAGGAAGTGGTTCAGGGTACTTGACGGCAGTTCTCCATCATTTAGTCCAGTCCGAGGACAAAGCTAACCCCGGGAAAGTCGTTGGAATTGAACACGTCTCCGAACTTACAGAATGGTCAATACAAAATCTGAAAAGGGACGGGCTTGGGAATGCTTTGGAATCTAAAGAGATTGAGATGATCACAGGGGATGGAAGACAAGGCGTGTTCGACTTTCACGGCGTTTGAAGTAATGCCAAGGCTGAACTGTCTTTCTAGGTTACGCTGCTGGTGGTCCGTATAATGCAATCCATGTAGGGGCTGCTGCTCCTACTATTCCAGAAGCATTAATCGAGCAGTTGGCATCACCTGGGAGAATGTTCATACCGGTTGGGACTTATGAACAGAAAATCATCCACGTTGACAAGGATGAGAATGGTCGTATCACTCAGCAGGACATTATGTTTGTTCGAGTACGTGCCCCTCGTCCCTGTACTGTTTCCGTGTTCTAACCTCTTCACTGCAAGTATGTTCCTTTGACCGACCGGGACAAGCAAGTGTAAGCTATGGTCGGAAGTGAAAAATTCTGTATCTTTGTATCAATATTCTCTGTACCGGATAAACTGATTGACAACTAAAATGAATGCATCCGAACTGAATCTGTGTTCGCTCAGCGCTCTCTTCCGCATTGGTTCTCGCCGGAAAACAAACGCCGGTGATATCCGATTTCGTATGCAGCGAGGATCAATTGTTCGATATTTTCATTTCTCCAACAACACAAAGTTACAACTGGACCTATTATGTGGGTACATATAAAGTCCATTGACAAAGGTCGTGTAGCTTAAGAGTAAGCAGCAATAGCAGTGTCGAAAGCATCTCCAATGGTTGTCTGGATATCGGTAGCTTGAGCGACAAGGTCAGCCTACGACGTAAAGTCAGATATTCGTCTCAAGGAATATGGGGAAGTATAATCACCGGAGCGTTATCAATCAAAGCATTCGAGAAAGCGGTAGTCGCAGCATCAAGGTTTTGTAGATCCTGAAGAACGAGAGCGGGGATACCACCAATGGGCAGAGCAGCAAAAGCGGGTTGTTTCTCGGCGATAGCGGACAAAGCGTCCAAGATGGTGGGTTCGATAGCTGCAACAGCATCCAAGATGGATTGACCGTCGGCTTCGCTGAATGCGCCGTTGGCCTGATTGATGAATTGTGTTAATTCTGGATTTAGTGGGAGAAACTAGGAAAAGAAGCCCACGGTAGTATCATCGGTAGCGGTGTTGACGGAATCGAGCAAAGCGACAGCGTCGTTGTGGATAGCCTAGAATGAAAGAGTTTATATATGTCAAAGACGCGTCTGGAGAATACCGACCAGAGCACTAGTAAGAGATCCTCCAGAGTCGGGGAACGCATTGATGGCATTGTCAAGAGTCGTCACTTGGGTAGAGATATCGCTGATGTCGGCCAAGATGGTAGGAACATCACGTTTGAGGATGGCACCAAAGGTGGAAGCGGCGATGGAGAGAGCGACAAGGGTGCGAGTGAGGAGCTGCATGTTGGGGTGTGTTGGGTGGTTAAGAGACTGGGAGTTTGAGACGAGTACAAATGAAGACTGTCTTACTTTTCTCCCGAGCTTACCATCCACCTTTTATACCTCCAAATGTTGACATAAGGAATTGGTTTTCACATCAAAATGGCGAGACATTGCGATCAGCTAAAAACATGTAATAGGCTCTAAAATCGTCGAGTGTGTCCGTTTTCTCAAGCCGAGTCTAGCGAGAATCAGAAGCCAAATCGTTTTTCAATACGAATCAGAACAAAGCGGGGCTACGGATCCCTCATGACACGAAAATACCAGAGGGTACCATGTGTGGAGAACATGAAGAATGTCACTTTACATCAGGGTTGGTTGGTGCTTTTTTGGACACGAGAACATCGTTGCACGAGCGCAACAAGAAGGGAAAGCAAATTTAGGAATGGTTGAATACGATTAAGGATCTTGGGGTACCACGAGACCAAGGATCAACTGGGATTACACTCCAGAAATGGAGGCGAAAGCTAGGGTATCGTGTGAAGAAGGTGGAAAAGAAATTGTCCGGTGTGATGGTTTCTAGGTTCTTCAATGGTTGGAAGGGTCCTCGGTCAGATGAGTGGGCTCGAAATACATCTAATATTGCCTTTACGAGTTCGTAGCTGGTGGTAGAAAACGGCATATTTCGTGAACACAGCGGGATTTCACGCGTCTGGCCAGCTGCACGGGTCAAGCTCGGAGTATGTCCTCCCAAATTTTTGGGCTCCAAGATAACACGGGAGAAGATATTGAAGGAAGTGCTTCGAGTGACAGAGTATGGGGAAGAGCTGAGAATTTCACGTGCGTTCGCGCGAATGCGGGGAAATTTTCGTCAGGAACGTTTGACTCTATGTATGTTTATGCCGGTCTCTTTTCTCCAATCCCCACAAGCCAAGTCATTCGGTTCCTTACCTCTGGAAAATCACCTGAAATCATGCTACTTACGACCACCCAGTTCCTGAATGACATCTATCATTCATTTCCAGATGATGACACTGTAAAAAAGTGTACCTTCACGCCGCTGGACCGCGCTACTTGGGTGTCGGAGACCGGCATGTATTCATTTTGTGGTACAACGCTAGTAAATCTCAAGAGGATTCTGTGGTCCAAATCGTCCAGGTCACCGGCTCGACTACTATTATCCTGTTACTAAATCATGTTCTGCAAACTCATTGTTCCCATCGAACCAGTAATTTGAACCTCGGTACGTTTGACAGGGATAAGATGTTGGAGTTGGCAAAGGGAATAGAGTTTTGAAAGCGAGTGCGGTTAATGGTTGTAAGGTTTGGACGAGGTATTTGCTAGAGATTATGGTCGAGGAAGGCCTGATTTCGGAGCAAGTGTTCAAGGATGTCGACGAGTGTTCCTTTGGTGATTCGTCAACCTGAAATTTAGCGTTCTCGTGCTACTTTTGTCAATGAAGGCCAAGCTGTACTAATACACATGTCGAAGCAACCAACTGGGAGGTGAATATCTTTCTGACTACTCAGTTCTACCTATTTATCTGCTCTTAACAATCTCTTTACCTTCAAGCTTTTGGTTATAATCCCCAGGTCGGAACCAGGTCTAGAGTAAGTAATCAAAGTCAAAGAGACGACGACGCATACATCCAAAGCGATAAGTCTGAGAAACAGACATGTACCTTGTCAACATTGTAGATAATCCATTTCCAGAGCGGTATTGTATTAACCCTACATGAGCTAAGATGTAAAAGTAGAAAAGCTAAGGATGCTACAATCAATGTACGCCGCAAAACAATGTCAGGAAAAAATAACATGAAACTTTGGGTACTAGTTCCATCACAGGGAATCGAACCCTGGGCTATCGCGCATCTTTGCTTCGTGCTGGATGAGAGGCGATAATGTTAGCCACTACACCATGATGGATCAGCAAAAGAAAAGGTCTGCGACTCAAATTAAACAATCCAAAATAAGTTGTATTCGTTGATTTGCCTCCGTCTCGAGTCGGATTGCATCACAGGTACCAATGGCGGAGGTAATTCATACATGTATATGAGCTCAATATTGCTTGACTGATCTCGAGGTAAGAACGACGTAGACAGTGGAGCTGAAGAGATGATGTATGTCTTGTACACACAGCGAATAGGGGTTGTGAAGCCCGACCTCCCGCAGCAAGCGGTCCAACAGATAACCCGACGGTCTAAAAAGGGTATAAAATCTAGAACCGAGGAACTAGGAGGTCTAGAACAGCAGATCGAGCAGCGCTAGAAGTTGGTTGACTCCGTTAGACTCAAAACCTGTAGAATATATTTTAGCTGCAGGGGCGAAAATATCTTGCGGCTGAAGATCACGGAATTCTGATTGGTTGAAAGACAGCAGAATCTCAGCGAGCCCGGAACTGTCAGACGTGTATATGCGTGTCGGCTCCGTTTTATTGGTCTGCGGTGTGATTGGACCTGAAAAGATGGGAGGGCGATGCATGCAGATTGTTGCAGTGCGCAGCATGATAGATGGGTGGGTGGGTGGTTTGGACGACAAGAAAAGTGAGACGAAATGAGACTCTGTGGAGGCAGTAGGAATGATTGATAGAAGCGAACAAGGGTCTAGGAAAGGATCTGGCAGGCGTGACGTCACATTCATTTTTGCTCTTATACCTTGTATCGAAAAAGTCGAACCAACTTCGATTCTCGATGTCCGACCAGCAGGACGCAAAGTCTGCCTCTACCCCGACTTTTGTCACTGCTCTTGTCTTCAACGCCATAGTCTTTGGTGCTGAAATCGGTGTATTTACTCTCCTTCGACCCTATTTCAAGGCCATCTACGAACCACGCACCTATGTCCCCCCAAAATCCAGACGCATTGCTCCCCTAACTCCCTCATTCAAAGGCGCACTCGACCTAAAGACATATCTATCATGGCCCTGGGCCGTTTTCATGTCCGACCCAGAAGAAATCAAGCACGCAAACGGCCTCGATGCCTATTTTTTCGTCCGCTTTTTGCGCATGATGGTCAAGATTTTTCTTCCTATTTGGATTATCAGCTGGGCCGTCCTTTTGCCTACCACCAGCGTTGGTACAGGTGTTTCTGGCCACTCTGGTCTCGACCGCTTCATTTTTGGCAATGTTGCCAATGATCAAACTGAACGCTACGCCGCTCACATCATCCTAGTCTATATCTTTACTGGTGCGTTGCCATCTACTCCACTCACTCCTCCCGCTAACGTTACCCTTTGGCAGGTTGGGTATTCTACAACATTTACCGAGAAATGGGTCACTTTGTTACTACGCGTCAGCTCCACCTCATCAACCCCAACTTTTCGAAAACCGTGCAAGCGAATACGGTTCTCATTACTGGTATTCCTGCCAGATATCTCAGTCACGCTGCTCTTCGTGCAGTTTTCGACCCCCTTCCTGGCGGTGTAAAGACCATATGGATAAATCGGTACGTAAGAACCTTCAAAGTCCCCCTATGCGTTCATCGAGCGCTCTTCTTTGTATTGAGCGTGCCTTGCGTGCTCTAGACTCTATTCTGCGACTATTTCTGTCTTGTATTCATTACACCCTATCTGACTTCTTCGATCTTTTTTCAATAGGAACTTGGGCGACCTCCCAGAAATTTACGAACGCCGCCTTGCAGCATGCAACAAACTCGAAGCTGCAGAGACCAAACTTCTCAGTATCGCCGCCAAACTCAAGCAGGATGAATTGAAAGGCAAAGGGAAGAAAAAGTCGGCAAAGGGTGCGCTTTTTTGACGTGACCATGCAAGATAACTGACTGACTCAATTCTTGCATTCTTCTTCCGTTCATCCTATCCATGCTGTTCATCATTTTAACTATCATTTCTCATACCCGACGCAGACCCCGAAGCTACCGCAGCTGCCTCCAGCACCGCCGATTCTACCATTCCAGAAGTACCTCGTAATCTCCGTCCAACTCACAAACTCGGCTTCTTGGGTCTTCTAGGCGAAAAAGTCGACACTATCGACTGGTGCAGAGAGGAAATTAAAACCTGCACAAGTCTCCTCGAAGAAGGTCGTCACAAAATCCCTGGATACAGCCCCAAAGACAACAAGCAATCTTTCCACTTTGACGACCCTGAAGGAGATTCGGATGACGATTTCGGTGGCCAAGAAGGCGTCATTGGAGCTGTCGGCAAGGTTGGCAGAGTTGGCGCCAAAGTCGGTGGTAAAGTAGGAAGCGGTGTTCACAAAGTCGGAACGGTTGTTAGGCATAGGAATCGGAAAGACGGAGCGACTTCTCCTACGTCGGCAGAGGGTGCTGAGCATGAAGAGGAAGCAGAAGGAGCTGAGCATGTCCAAGCTGAACCCGAGACGACAACAGCACCTGCTGCTGATACTGGTGAAGCTTCTGCAGCTGATCCATACCCACCTGTCAATGCAGCGTTTATTACCTTCCGCAAACAAATTTCGGCTCATTTGGCTGGTCAGGCTTTGATTCATCATGATCCGTATAGGATGAGTGGGAAGCATATCGGTGTCTCACCTAGTGATGTTATCTGGGGTAATCTTGGGCTGAACGAGTACGAGATGAAAGTGCGATCGGTTATTTCTTGGGCAGCTACTGCAGCGTTGATCATCTTTTGGGCCATTCCTGGTGAGTACGCCCTGTTACTCTTCCGAGTTCGGGCCTGATAGAGTTCTTCTCTAGTCTCTTTTGTCGGTATCGTCTCCAACATTCATACCGTCTGTTCAACCGTGAGTTGGTTGAACTGGATATGTAACCTACCCGACGTTGTAGTCGGCATCATCTCTGGTATCCTGCCTCCTGTTGCTCTCGCCATTCTTATGATGCTCCTACCAATTGTCTTGAGACTGCTGGCATCTTTCGAGGGTATCCCCAAGAAGAGCGGTGTAGAACTCAGTTTGATGGATAGGTTCTTCATCTTCCAAGTTGTGGTGGGTTATCTTTCGTTTGTCTTTGTTTAACGTCAGTTAACGTTTGCGTAAAGCATTCCTTCATCATCTTGACCCTCTCCTCGGGTATTGTTTCTGCCTTGCATGACCTGTTGAACAAGCCAGCAAGTGTACCCACGACGTTGGCGCAACAATTGCCTCAGGCCTCGACTTTCTTCTTGACGTGAGTCGCTTTTATACTTTGTTAAAGGTTTCGTTTAACATTATGAACAGGTATGTCATTCTTCAGGGTCTTTCTGGCGCTGCCGGTGGTTTCCTCCAAATCGTGCCCCTTGCCATTTACTACGTCAAATTGTTCTTGCTGGCATCGACACCCAGGAGTGTTTGGGGAATCAAATATGGTGCCAGGAGTGTAGCATGGGGTACTTTGTTCCCTGGTATTACGCTGATTACCGTCGTCTGTGCGTGGTGTCTTGTTTTGAGATATATTCAACCTGCTAACATCAACTCTACAGCCCTTTCCTACTCTATCATCTCTCCCATTATCAACGGTCTCGCCTGTGCAACCTTCTTCTTGTTCTACATGTTGTACAAGTACCTCTTCCTCTGGGCATACCAACAGGATCTCACTACCGACACTGGAGGCTTGTTCTTCCCCAAGGCGATTCAACAGACTTTTGTTGGGATGTACTTGCAGATGGTCTGTCTGGCTGCATTGTTCTTCCTATCTCGGGATGAGAATGATTCCCCTGCGGCGATCCCGGAAGGCGCGTTGATGATTGTCTTGATCGTGGTCACGGTGAGTTTTTGTTCGCTTCTTTCATCATGTAAAAGGGTCACTAACGAGATCTGGTCTCGGTTTTGTACAGATCTTTTTCCAGAGCATCATCAAAAACTCTTATGGTCCCCTAATCTACGCTCTTCCTCTCACATTGACCGAAAAGATGTACTCTGCCGATCCCGACGACTCTGTTCCTCAAAGTCTTGCTGGTCGCTCCAACGAAGTCGAGATGAGTGATCGAGAACGCGGAGCTGGAGCTGTTCGTCCTAGTGTTGACGGCAGTGAGGTTGAACATGAGAATCTCAAACCATACAACACGCAAGCTTCCATTGCTGAAGAAGGCGGTATGGGTGCGGGTGCGGGTGCAGAGGAACAAGACCCCAACGCCCCGAAACCGATAGATAGACCTAAACCCCGTGCAGAGGAAGAATATGGATTTGCTCACCCCGCTGCTTCGAGGCCTCAGAGAACGATTTGGATACCCAAGGATCAGCTTGGGTTGGCAGAGGAGGAAGAGAGGGCGAATTTGGAGATGGGGATTGATGCGAGTGTTGAGAATGCAGAGATGAATGAAAAGGGCAAGGTTGATTTGGCTGGGGAGGGGCAGCCGCCTGATTTGGTTTTGGAGTAGATGTGTTGCGGCGAGTGCGTTTTTTTTTTTTTGATCACATACTGCCTTGTTCTCTTTTTCTTCTCTTTTTCTTCTCTTTTTCCTTCATCGATTTGCTTGACATACTGCCTATTCCCTCTAACGAACGTCGGAATAACCTGTACTCGGCCTGTCTATATAGGCCCTGCATGACTAGCTATAACATATACCCAGTGGACGGTTCCTTTTCGACGCCACGATGATCAAAACTCAAGAGTACTTTTTTTTATGTAGCCGTTCTTTTAGGATAGAATCCTGTGCCTTTCTTTTGTGTCATTTTACTACTGCATACCTACTTGGTAGCTAATGCTACTGATACATCTACGATAGGAAACTAGGTTTCCGAAATGTAATGATATAATTTTCAAGTTTTGCTTCTGCGCGCGCCTGTGAAAGTTAATTATGATGCCGGCACTGTTGATGTTGACTTTGAGTAAAAACGTCCATGATCAAGCGCTTAGCATGTAGGATTATGGGGTCCCAGCATCAAACTTTCAAGCTTAAGGTGAGTCAGAGCACCAGTTCGCCGGTCCCATCGTGTTCTATCGTTACTCACCAATAGATGGACCTTATACCTTATTCAGAATCACCGAGAGTTCGTATTTACAGATCTGGTCTAGCA